TCTCTCTCTCTCTCTCTCTCTCTCTCTCTCTCTCTCTCTCTCGAGGTGGCAGCCGGTCAGGGCGGCCGAGGAAGAGCGGAGTGGAGAAGGGGAGGCACTGTAAGGGAATAGGGTTGCAGAGGGGGGGAGGGGGAACGGTTTTGGGGGGGGGGGGAGAGGAGAGTGGTTGGAGTCGGGTGGCGTAGGAGCAGGGGGGGGGGGGGGGGGGAAGTGGTTTGGGGAGGGAGCCATGCCACTGACCCGAGGGTTCCATCTTGCAGCAGCATTCAGTCGATGACGACTCCACCGCACACCACAGCTCACGGCGCAACACAGCAGCTGGCCAACCCTAGGTGAGAGGGAGACAGGGATAGTGTGTGTGGAGTTTTCATAAGGAGTCACCACGCCACCGAGCTATACGCTAAAAAAATAGCATGATTGTGCCAGACTGTTTCGTCAAATTTTCACCGACTCATCAGGAGGTTGAACCCCGACAGTCTGCCGAGAGTGAAAGAGAGAAGCAGAGAGCGAGAGAGAGAGTTGGGCGCCGCGTAGCAAGGTCGACAACAGTAAGCAAGGCATACACAACACGGCGCGAGGCAATACCCAGCATGCACTATGGCAAACCACATGGACGCATAGGCGCAAAGCTCAACAAAATATGGCCCGATGCGGTTCCGAGTACCCCCGGCCCTCCACAACGCATCTATCTGAGCCCACGCCACCTGACTCCGGTTGTACCCCACGGCACTCCGGTAGTACCGCGTAGGCGGAAAGCTCAACAAAATATGCGCAATGTGGTTCCGAGTACCCCCGGCCCTCCACGACGCATCTATCTGAGCCCACGACACTTGACTCCGGCAGTACCCCACGGCACTCCGGTAGTACCCCACGGCACTCCGGTAGTACCCCATGGCACTCCGGTAGTAACCCACGGCACTCCGTGGCGCGTCTATCTGAGCCACGACACTTGAGTCTGGTAGTACCCCACGTCTATCTGAGCCGTCGGTCCGGACCGACGGCCTGGATCTCGGTGCAGGCCGTCGGTCTGGTAGGACCCAATGGCCCAGATGGCAGATTTGTTACATGGTTCGGTCAATCTGGGCCGTGGGACGGTAGGACCTACGACGGCCCAGATTTCAGATTTGTCACGTTAGCGATTTTAATAGTGTAGGGATCCAAACTTCCAAACTGAAAAAAAACACAAAAACAGAAATGTATTTGTTTGATATGCAGGGAATATTGAAAACCAACGAGGGAATTTCACATCCGATATGTTGTCCAAAATGTACACAGAATTTGACAGAAAGTCGGAGTGACAGGAATATTTGATTTCAGTTGTAATTGGTAGTTTAGGGGCTCTGAACTACAGTGTTCTTGTTTGATGTATCCTCCTCCTAGTCCTCCACCACCTCCTCGTCATCATCGTCGATCACCGCCGTCGTCGTCGTCCTCCTCCTCCTCGTCCTCCTCTTCGTCTTCCTCATCGCCGTCCTCCTCCTCTTCCTCCTCTTCCTCCTCCTTTTTTCTTTTTTCTTTTTTAATCAATCAATCAATCAATCAATCAATCAATCCATCAATCCGATCCAATCAATAGATTGGATCGGGTCTTGAAAATCCAATCGATTGGATTTTTAAGATCCAATCCAATCTATTGATTGGATCGAATTAAATGATTGGTTGGATGATTGATTGATTGATTTGCAATAACCCATGCCATATGTCTCGGGGAAAACCTGAGCGCCAACTCAGCCGCCCTCAGGCCAGGCCAAAACAGGGGCAAAAGACCCCACACGAGGACTCAGCGCCTGGACGTGCGGCAGTTGACTTTGGTCAACTGTCCGGATCCCAACACTCAAAGTCCAGAGGTACCTAGCCCAGGCCGCTGGTCAAGCACGCACCCTCGTTTGTATGCAGGTACCCAGACAGCATCAGGTCCAAGGGAGAAATCTGCAACTGCATAATCTGGGTCCTCAGTGAGTCAATCTGGACGACTGTGGGAAAAGCACCCGAGGCCGGACAACCTCCACAAATGCGACTTAAGGCTGGCCTCGAGTGAGTCTAGAATTCAGTCTT